ACGATTGAGGTAAGGATCCAAAAGCATGGGTTACGTGATTGGTGTCCTTAGTAGGCTTAGTGAAAGATGACAAATGCATTGGTGGTGGTGGTGGTCCTATGGCTGATTTTAAGATTTCATTATGGTGGGTAGGTTGAGGAGCCATGGAATGGTTCGGGGATGATTCACTAGAGTCATCGGCTAGGAACCACATTGCCCTACCAATGCATTTAGCTTGGGCTCGGTGCGCATTGTGGCGGTGGTGGAAAGTGGGGCATGTGGGGAATTTAGGATGGAATGGGGGTTAGCAAAGTGGTGTTCGGTTGGTGAGACAAAAAATTATATAGGGTTGAAGTGGGGAAAGAGATGGTCGTTGTGATTTAGGGTTGAAGTGGAGTTAAAGTGCTACATTTCATTTTAATGGGGGTTAAGAGTGATGGTTTGAAAGTTTTATCCTCCATTGAAAATATGAAGAACACCTATTTAAAGAGGTTTCAAACAGTCATTTCTCCCCATTTCTTTAATTGTACTCGTGAGTGGATAATATATAACGTGTTATGCTTTGAAATTCTTTCGATAAATATGTCATGCATCATTAATTTAATTACAATATAATCACGTTCCTTAGAATTAGATGGGAACGGACCCTTGAGCATTTGAAATGTTTTCATGTCGAAAATGGTTTGATGTGACTTTAAAAAGGGAATTAGATATATGTTAGAACAAGTGTTTTATTTATGGTTTGATATATAATTTTGGATTTAAATACTAATTTAATTTAGATTGTTATTTTGATTTATTTGTATAATCTTTGTAAGTATTTATTTGATATTGAATTGTATTATCAAATCTGATTTTGAGCATGAATTGTATTTGATATGTTGGATTTGGATATTTTTAATATATGTATAAGTTTATGTGATTTTTTATTTAAGTGATTATCTTAGGGTACCTAGCTATGAAGGACTAGCTTGTGAGCTCATTGATATGTAATGCTTTAGCTAGCAGGGAGATGTATAGTGATACCCCATGTGTCGATCAACATATGAAAACCTAGCTACAAGGGGCATAACCTTTAGGTGTTCGCATCTAATGATATGTTATGTTTGTTTTACCTTAAGTATAATTCGGATATTTGATTTGATTTGATTGTGCGTGTGTGTGTGTATAGATTTTGATGATTTGATGCAATTTGATTTTGAACCATTTAAGATAAGATATAAGATTTGATATTTATGATATGCAATTGACTTTGAGAAATAAACATTACATCTTGAGTAGAATTTTAAATTAACATCCTTAGTCAGTTTTCCTTCTCTATTATGTTATATAGTATCTCGCTCACTAAGCTATTAATTTGCTTACACTCTACCATTTCAGCTCTGCAGGATTTTGAGATTGCCTTTTTCACTTCTACAAGTTATTTTTTTTGAAATCGATGTATTAATCATGCAAGTTAGTTGTAATCTATTGAAACTTGTGTTTGATTTTGTTGAATCTTATAGAAGCTCCGCAATTATATCTTGTGGGAGTTATAGTAAAAATTGATTATGGATATTATTTTGAGAAATACAAGAATACTATGGAATTATGATTGTGTTGGAGTTATACAAGTATAAACTATTAGGTTGTGATACTATAATTAAAAATGATGTTTAATGTGTTAAAGGTTTAGGGATTATAGTTTAGATATTCGAGGTTTGCTTAAGTCAAGATGAGCCTTATGGTTCTCTCGATTCTTACATCGGTCATGGCCTACTTTGGGGGTCGTGATAAATTTTGGTAGAATTAAAAGAGTTAAATATGAGACAAATGAGATGATTGGAAGTATTGAATGATCATAATATTTTTTTTCATTACCACCGTATTAAAGGTAATGTCGTGGTAGATGCATTAAGCCAAAAGTTAATAGTTTCCTTACAAGTAGGAATTATTAGAGATATGGAGAGATTACAATTAAAAATGGTGCTAGAAGGAACTAGTCATGGATTACCGAATACACTTGTGTTGAAACCAGATTTGAGATAGAGAATTAAAGATGGACAAGTGTAGGACGCCAAATTGGTAAAAATTCGACAAGAAGTAGCCAAAGGAAAGAGAATCAAGTTTGCCATGGATAATGATGGTATATGACACTATCATAGCAAGTTATGTGTTCTTGTTACAAAAGGAGCTACGTGGTGATATCTTAAGAGAGCTTCATACTATGCCTCGCTCTATTCATCTTAGAAGCATTAAAATATATAAAGACTCGAAAAGATATACTAATGGAAAGAAATGAAATGAGATATTGCTGATCATGTAGCATGATCAGCAATATCAACAAGTTAAGAATGAGAACTAGAGGCCTTCAAGATTACTAAGGTCATTGGATATTCTTGAGTGGAAATATGAGCATATTATAATGGACTTTGTACTTGAATTACCAAGATTCGAGAAGGGAACCGATGGTATGTGGATGATTGTAGATAGACTTATTGAGTCAACTCATTTCTTGAAAATCTAGTCCATATATTCCAAATAGAAGTATACATAATTGTAATTGAGAGAAATTATGATATTTCATGTAATATCGATTTTGATTGTATCTTATCAAGAGCAACGAGTTAACATGATGATTTTGAAAGAGTTTACATTAAGTGATAAGAACTAATTTGTGCTTTAGCATAACTTTTCACCTACAAACTAATGGATAAACAGAAAGAGTGAATCGGATTTTAGTGGATATGCTTATAGCCTACATACTTGGATTGGTCGGCTAGGTGGAAAAATTACCTACCTTTAGTAGAGTTTGCTTATAATAATAGCTTCCAAACTAGCATTGTCATGGCACCATATGAACCATTATATGGAAAGAAATGTAGATCTCTAATACATTGGGATAAGGTTGGAGAAAGGAAATTGTTAAGACCCGAGTTAGTCCAAGAAACGACTAAGGTAGTAGAGCTAATCGAACAAGGATGAAAGTAGCTCAAAGCAAACAGAGCTACACCGATGTAGAAAGGAAGGATTTAGAATTTGAAATTAGAGATAAGGTATTTCTAAAGGTGGCTCCGATGAAGGGTTTGAGAGATTTAGAAGAAAAGGTAAGTTAAGTCTCAAATACATAGAACTCGTTTGAGATACTAGAAAAGATTAGAGATTGAGCCTATAAATTAGCTTTACCTCCATCTCTTTCTTTAGTGCATAAGGTCTTCCACGTATCCATGCTTCAAAAATATATGGAGGACCTAAATCATATTCGAGGACCGAGCCATTGAGTTACAAACGGATTTAAGGTATGATGACGGACCAGTCCAAATTTTGGATAGAGAAATTAAGTAGCTAAGGAATAAATAGATTCCTTTAGACAAAGTTTTATGGAAGAATCAAAATATAGAGGAACCAACTTGGGAAATGGAAGCCTATTTTTAAATAGGATAGGTACCCGCAGTTATTTAAATAGGAATTTTGATAATGAAATTTTTGTAAAGAGGGAGGATGTAATATCTTTGACCAAAAACCTCCTAAATAAGTATATAGGTATGTATGGACTAAGGAATTTTTTATTAATGCCTAAATATATAATTATGGAGTAATTAGTTAAATTAAATGTTTGAGTTATTATTAGTATGTGCATAAAATATTATTTATGTATACATAAATATTAGAAAATTAATTGGTGAGAATAAATAATTAATTTTTGGATAATAAGTTTTAGTGTTTAATTAGATTATTTTAGGGAGGTAATTACAAAAAGTAAAAGATTGGCTAATTTAAATTAAAAAAAAAAAAGGAGTCAAAGTACCCAAATTAATTTGAAAATTGTGTTAAAGGAGGATTGAAATGTCATAATCAAAGGAGGGAAACTGAAATTATAGGGGTGTGATTGAATAGAATTATAAAGGTCAAGGACTATAGTGGTAAAATGAGGCAAAATAGAGAGGCATTTGAACTAGCCATTCTCGCTAGAATTTGCATAGAAATTTTAGTTAAAAAATGAATTTCTAGGGCATAATCAATAAGCCAAACACAAGAGAAAAAGGGAAGAAACACAAGGAAATGAAGAAAAAAGGTTCAAGGAATAATCTAGAGAGTTTCAATTTAGCTAAGGAGTGGAAATTCAAATCCTCCCCCTCTATATAGATTTGGCCAATTGGAGAAGAGAATGATGAATAATCAAGGTTAGGAGGAACCCAAGAGGAATAAGAAGGAAGGAAGATTTTGCAAGGATCAAGTGAAATTAAGAATCAAAGATACTTTGGTAAGTGTAATCTTACCTACACTACAAGGGAATTTTTTCTTTGGGTGTTTAATTAATGCTTTGATTGATTAATAACTATTGTTGTGAATTGGGAATTTTGGTTCATTTTGGAAATGTGTGATAATGTATGGTTTGAGTAATTGATTGGACATTTATATGATTGGTGAATTAATGAACTTAATTGGGTGATTGGATGAGAGAAGGAGAAGCTTATGGAATGGGTTCATTAGGATGAACCATTCAACCAAAACTAGTTTTGTAGGGAATTGATGCATCCTAGGTGGTTGATCAAATGTGTAAACTATGTCTTAACTTGAAATTAGTGAAATGCGTATGTATGTGTATCTATATGCATTATGGATTAAATGGTGATTAAGTAAGGTTAAGTAATGATGTTTTAAGTTTTAAGGAGAAGAAATAATTTGGTTACTTGGTAAGAGGGTCATTCGGTCAAGTCCCAAGTGTGAGGGATTATGGAATTTGATGGTTAAACAATTGAATTTAGTGACTTTAGCTTTGGTTATTTGAAGTTCAATACAATGAATAATTAGATTGGACTAAATAGATAGTAGGTTTGGCCATTAACCTAATAGATCTAAACATTAAGTTAAATTGATTACATGGAAGATTAATAAATAAATGTTAAATCCTAAAGTTTCAAAGGTCCCACGAACTTGGGGTAGTGACACTAAGTTGGGATGTAGATAAATCCCCATGTCCCCTTTCTAATCTTGCAGTGATCAAATTTATTCATTGTCAAAGTTTCCAAAATTTGCCTCTATTTACTCATCTCCCTGCTCTTAAGGTCCTTGTGCTTCAGCATATACATAGAAAATGGCATAAATGAGTACTCATCAATAACCACATCAATATTCTTCCCTTCCCTTGAAGAACTTGAAATGTCTGATTTGCCTCATCTAAAAGGACGATCAAGAGAAGTAGCATCCAGAGTGGATGACCAACAAAATCATCACCTACCAGCATCATTTCTTCTTCTTTCGAAATTGAGAAAATCAGACTGCCCTAACCTCACATCCATGCCCCTTGTACGGAATGTCAAAATTCCCCCTCTGAATATTGTTAGTGAGATGCTGTTATAGACAGTCATGAATGGGAGAGCAAAGGCAACAACAAGCAACGCCTTCTGAGAATTGATGGTGTTGATTATTCTCTTCTTTTCTTCTTCTCTTTTTATTATTCTCTCAAATGTGATTAGTTTTTGTTTTATCATGTTCTTGTTGGAGAAATTTGTTATGTTGTTGGTTTGAAATTTTAGATTGATTTTATTTCCAAGTACTTGTTTTTTTCAAAGTGTGATTGTTGTGTGAATTTAGTTTTTTTTTTCAAATGTGATGGGTTTTTGTTGGGAAAATTTGCTGTGTTGGTTTGAAATTTTAGATGGATTGTATTTGCAAGTATTTGTAGGTAATAAATTTCAAAAACTTGTGCTTGTCAAATGTGATTGCTGTGTGAATGTTGTTTATTGTTCTTTGAAATGTATATGGATTTTATTTCCAATTATTTTTAGGTAATAAATTTCAAGTACTTGTGCTTGTCAAGTGTGATTGTTGGGCAAATCCTGGCTTTGGATTCAGAAAAGATTTTTTGAGTTTTAACCTGCATATATATTGACACGGGTGAGTCAAATCAATTTTAATTTCATAATTCATGTTTAGTTTTTGATTAATTGAACCTATAAAAACATCAAATTCAAACTAAACTATTATTTAATTTTTTAGTTTAAGAACTGAAATTTTGATTTTCGATTTTGGTTTTTTTTTTTTTTAAATTGAATTTTTTAAAAAAGAATTTAAAATAATATAAATAAACCAAAAAGACCATTCATCCATTATATATATATATATATATATATATAGAGTAAGGTGTTGGTTTTTTTTATTTAGTTTTATTACTTAAAAAAATTTAAAAATTCGGTTTTCAATCGAAACCGAACTAAAAATTCCAAAACCGAACAAAACTAGAAAAAAAACCGAACGAAATTGATATTTCAGTTTGGTTTGATTTTTTCAGCTTAAATAGAATAGTACTCACCCCTACGAGCCACTGGTTATAAGATTTCCGACCATAAGCTTGTTTTTACTCCCATCGAACTAAATTGCAGGCTTGATTTTTCTTAAACAGGAGATCTTGCCAACAGGCCTCAGGTTATGCCAGTTTTGTAAATACCAAATCCGACTGTAAAATGAAGTTAGCTAGCTATTTTTGCTGCGAGGGAAATGATGTTTCTCTTAGTTTTGTAACAAAGAGGATTTTAGTTCTAATTATTGCCAGAAATATTTCGTCAAACTTTTTAGATATGGTTAGCTATCTTAGATTGTGGGCACAGCTTTTGTGATGCTAATTGTCCATCCCTCAGCTTGCAGTACGGTTGGGATGGAAGCCACTTGAACAAGCAACATGAAATAGAAATAACCAAAGAGCCTTTCACATTGACTGGACATAGAATTCCCGGCAATTATCTAAGCATGCATGCTTGCTGATAATAACATAATGAGCTCTGTTTTCCATGCGAATTTTTTTCATCACTTTAATTGTATTTTGTTCGCTGGCCTTGTCACGCAGTTTCTAACAAGTGAAAGAATTTGTCATAAAGTATAGCTTCTTGGGCCTTAGCTCCTTACAACTATTATGTACTGATGGGATCATTAAAGGAAATAAGGTTTGGCCATACAGATTAAGGGATATCGAAACCTAGGGGTGAGCTTACTTGCATTTGTTCATTCCAGATTAAAGCATATAGCCCTTTTCTGCTTATTTGTTGCAACAGGAGATTTCTGAAAAATATTTGCAACTGGTGGCTGAGATGCAGGCTCATACAAGTTCGGCAGTGAGAAGATTCATGAATATATATTTGCCCAAGAAATTTGAAATATTAAACCTATGGAATTACCATGCCTATAATTAGCAGCAGATTTAGTGGTACCACAGGCTTTGGTTGCCTTACCTTTTGTGGTTAAACTATGATGTAAAGGAAATTGCTATTAGTGTATGCAGTTCCAATGATATCAGCACACAATATTAATAATAATAGTAATGCAATGAGATTTCATGTGTTATTCGTATCTCTTTTATCATACCATAGCTCATCAACTACCTTGACGAAGCCATTGTGCAAGGAACTTAATGTTTTGATAGACAACAAGAAATGCTTAGATATTTTGAATACATTGGCACCATTACGTGCAGATTTTTTCCAATTGTCAATCTTGTCACATGGCGACATCAGGGTGAAGGTGACAGTTTTGAAAAATTGGAAAATGGGCAAAAATAAATAGAGTCATCACCTAGTATTATAGTTACTAGAAAACTATATGATTGGTCTATTTAGATTTTTAGATAAGGGGTTTATTGCGTGTAGGAAAGACTAAAAATCACCTTACTTTGTCATGCATAAAGCAAACTATATTGCATAAAAATATGATTTGATCTCCGATATATATATATATATTTTGTTGAAATTTGTGCATATTTTCCAAACATTTTCCAATCATATGAGTGATTTGGGACTTGGCCGGTCGGGAACCTTGTCTTCACTCGAAATGAATAGGTATAAAAATGAAAGCAAAGAACATAATGAGTACGCAAGAATATGTTGCTAGTGCGACCTAAACAGCGAGCGTGAAAGCATGGCTTAAAAATTGGTAGATAGGCCATAAAGGCAAAAAATGAAAAAATGACAAGAAATCAAAACAATAAAAATGGAAAAATTGACAAAATCATTGAAATTGACAAAAGTGATCCAAGAACGAGGTTTGAATTGACACCACTTCAAATGTCATGATCTTTCAAGAAAAAAATCAACAAAATCATTAAAATTGACAAAAATAATCTAACAATGAGGCTCGGATCGACACAACTTTAAATGTCGTCACTTTCAAACATATGGTAAAAATTGGCAAAATTATTGAAATTGGCAAAAATGATCCGAAAGTAAAATTCAACCAACACAACTTCAAATGTGATGATTTTCGAGTGTATGACGAATAAATTTGGCAAATAAAATTGGTGGACAATGTTGGCATGAACGAGTCCATACCAAGGTGTAGACCGACATGACTTAAAGTCATGATTTTTCGAGACAACATTTAACGTAAAATTGATAAAAATTATCCAAATAGAGGTTCGAACCGACACAAGTCAAACATTATATTTTTTAGGAAAAATTGGTGCAATATCAATTAATCATCATAATCGACCAAAAAATAGTCCAAAAACAAGGTTCAACTCAACACGACTCAAAATCATATATTGTTTTAGGCAAAATTAACACAATATCAAAATTAATCATTACAATCGACCAAAAATGGTCCAAAAAACAAGGTTCGGATCGACACGACTTAAAATCACATTTTTTTAGGCAAAATTGACACAATATCAAAATTAATCATTATAAGTGACAAAAATTAGTCCAAAAAGGGAGGTTTGGATCAACACGACTCAAAATTGCATTTTTTAGGTAAAATTGGCACAATATCAAAATTACTCATTGCAATCGACAAAAAGTTGTCCAAAAATGAGGCTTGAACCAACGCAACACAATTATACAAGTAATAACAAATATTCACAAAATAATCAATCCCTTATTCCGTCTTGGTATTTCCCAACGTCTCTACCCTTTTCACGGACACGATACACTACGATGCATCTTAAACGCATCGATCCAACAATCACACAACCATAGTAGTAGTTTAATTATTTTACAGATCACGCTAGCACAAATTAAATTTAATACATATTAAATTTAAAAGATTAAAAATAAATTACCTACTAAAAAATGTGAAAAGATGAATGAATTTGATTGTCTTTTCAATCTGGATATAGACCAATTATTCAATCAATTAGGGAGGAGGGATGACTATTTGTTGCTAGATTTGGATTTGGGGTGAGACGAGGTGACTATAGGAGACTACTAAAAGTGAGTCACTTGTTGGATCAAAAGGTTGTGGTCGTTGGTAGTGGTGGCACTACTCGGATCGAATGAACGACATTGGATCGAATGACTATGGTTGTTGGCAATGATGACATTGTTGGATTGGACAAGCGATAAGGTAGTTAGCGTTATCAACAACTGGATCGATGCATAGAGGAGCCGCTACGTGGTCAACGTGATTGAGCGACGTGGCTACCGTTGGATCAGCTCGTTGGATCGCGCGATGAAGAGCTGGATGAAGGCTATCGGAGTCTAGCATGGTTGCTAGAGTGTTGGAAAGGTTAGATCGGAGGTCGTTGATCAAAATTTGAATAATGGTGGTATGTTGCGACTGCCGATCGAATTCCGTGGAGAGAGAGATTTATCTAAAAATTTTAGAAAGATAAAAGCTGGTTTAAGGGGAGAGAAAATGGGGTCTTGTAGGTTTATTATATTTTTTTCTTTTCTTTTTTTTTTCTTAATTGCATCTCGTTGATTATATTTTTCAGATCCTTTTTGTCTTCTTTTTTTATTTTTGTATTTTTATATTGTTTTAGAGAGGAAAATTTGGGTGCTAACAATTACTCCTCTTTACAATGCTTACAACATGAAGCTATTGAAAAATAATTTTTTTTTGGATTTGCATAGTAAACTTGAAAAGAAAATTATAGAAGAGTGGTAAACAAATAGAACAATAACCAAATAATCAATCAATCAACGAGGTCAAATGATGATGGACTGTTCTTAAATCACTAGTCAATTACGGGTGGCTTCCCTTAGAACATAGGTTAATATGGGTAACTATCCCCAAGGTCAAAGAGACAACCTTTCCTTGGCAATTGGTTAATGAGGGTAACCATCCCCGAGGTCGAAGAAGTGACCTTCCCTTGACAATTCGTTAATGAGGGCAACCATCCCCGAGGTCGAAGAAGTGCCCTTCCTTTGACAATTAGTTAATATGGGTAACCATCCCCGAGGTCGAAGAGGTGACCTTCCCTTAACAATTGGTTAATATGGGTAACCATCCTCGAGGTCGAAGAGGTGACCTTTCCTTAGCAATCGGTTAATATGGGTAATCATCCTCGCGATCGAAGAAGTGACCTTCCCTTAAAGATCGGTTAATATGGTTAACCATCCTCGAGGTCAAAAAGTTGACCTTTCTTTGGCAACACACGAGAACGCAAATGAGATACCTTATTTTCATCGGAAAAACATAAGTTTCCACTACCAAAACATAAATTTTCCCCTTATTTGCAAGCCATAACCATCTAAATAGGCTTCGGGTTTTTAGACTGGTTACTTTTGCTGATTTTTATCTATTTAATCACATGTTCTTTAATTACATCATTTTCTAAAGTTCTAACTAGGCTATCATTCATGTCGTTTGAATGGTATCTACTCTTACGGTTAGGTAGACGAGTTTTTCGTTCTTGCATTCTTGTTGAGTATTACCCCTAAGTGTTCGGGCTTTTTCTAGTACATATCAAGAAATCTAACTAAAAAATCATTAAGATGGTTTTTTATTGTCGCTATCCTTAATTCATCGGGAAGGATCTTATGAAAAGTTTTATAAAGAAAACCTTTTTGTCTACCAAGTATGAGCGGAATTCTTATCATGTTATCATTTATCGATTAAATGCATCATTAAATTTCATAAATGATGTCGATCATAGGATTGTACATAAGACCAAAGAAAAGTCTTTCTAATGATGAATCATATTTGTAGAAACTAAGTTATTTTAAAATGTAAAAGAGAGCAAATCATGCTATGTTAGACAAAATAAGAATAAGATAAGAGAATTTGAAATAATTGCTCTAATGAATTTTAGTCATAACTTAGATGATCACCTTGTTGCTCTAGATAAGAGTGAAGTCAATTTGATTTGATTTAATTTTGATTTTGATTTTTTTTTTTTTTTTTGTTTCTTTAGAAGACTTAACTTTTAGTTGTTTTGACTTTCATGGATTAGGTTGTATATTTCAATAATTTTTATCAAAGCACGTTGAATTATTTAAAAGAAATCATAGAGATGTTTACAAAAATATAATCTCATTTAATAAAAATATTTGATTCATTTGGTCTAAAATCGAAACACATCATGTAAATGTCATGATAATTGATGATCCTTTTTAGGTTAGTGAGTGAAATGTATTCGAGATCACATCAAAGGTTTGGAAAGAAATCTTTTTTTAAAAAAAAAAGATAAGTGTCAAATGTTGGCTCAAAGGAAGTGAAGGGCTCAAATAGATTTCATGGACTCAAAGGCTTTTAAAGAAAAGTATACTCAAATAGGTTTTCTAGACTCAAAGGCTTTTTCGGAAAATTAGGCTCAAATCGATAGATCTGTCTAGAAAGATCTTGATTTCATTTGTCCCTTGCCCCCATGTATTTAATGTAAAACCATAATCAAATGCCATAAATAATGATTTGTGATACAGAAACAAGTCAAATTTTATTAAACAAATGTTTTTCTTCTTCTCGTTAAAGCTAAAGCTTATCAACATGAACTAAGTCATCCCTAATCAAAAAGGGCTTTTAAAGGCACATAATGTAGGTTAATTTTTTGCCTCATGAATAAAAAGATATAAAAGGCTCAAAATGTGTTTGAAGATATATACACTTAGGATCACATGATCACCCATCAAAATCATTTTAGGCTTGTCTGTACTAACTTTAACATTTTAATGGTTAATCTCATCTTCTAATCTCAGTTCTCCTTTCATGTTCACTCATATCATCTTTTTTAGGATTTCATAACCTTTTTTAGCTCTAAATTATGATAGGGGCCACTTAGCTAGCACTTTCTTTGGTTTAGTGTCATTTTGTTATTATTATTTTCTTCTTTTTCATTTCTTTTTTCTTTTACCCTCATGATTCTAGAATCATTGTTAGGGCTTTGCTCATCATTTTTTATGAACCAAATCCATAATTTTTAGAAGAACTTCATTGATTTCATACACTTCCAAATTGCCTCAATGTGAGAAGCAATCCTAGTCTAGGTTATTATCGAACGAAATTATCAAAGACTCACGACAAAAGATAAAGTTTGCTCTTAAAGATATACCAAAAATGACCTTGATCTCTAGTCTAACTCACTCGGGTTGATAGACTTTAGTCTCATTTGAAAATCATGGTTTATATATGAAGAAGAAATGCTAGATCGGATGGTAACATGACCTAAGCATGCATCACTTATCATTATTCAAGACATTAATCATTTGGCTTCTCATTTAGGGCATCATTATATTATCTTAGGCAAGATTATCCTAAAAAGGCTCATCATGAAAAGAAACTTTTGGTTTTAACAAAAGGAATTACCCTCGAATATTTACACATGTTTTGAAAATTGACTACTCTTGAAATATGTTAAATGCAATCACCATTTTACTATTCTAGCTTGAATGATATAAATGGTGAATGATCATTTCAAATAAACATCTCTTTATTTTGAATTGATAATGAATCACTCTAAGGTGGTAAAAATTTCTTTTTCATTAAAAAAAATGGCTCAACCCATGAAAATCGCAACTCTTTCTTTGTCCAATGTCATCGAATTAGACCAATTGTGTATTTTTTTTCTTTAGCATAATCATTTGGTTTTTTTAAGATATGATCATATTGAATGTCTCTAAGAAAAAAGCCAAATAAGATGAATAGGAAAAAAAGAAAGCAAAGATGGAAAAAAATTACACAATCCTATAAAATAACATTATTGTGAAAGCATGATAAAAACTTTAATATAATGTATTCATGAACTATAATGAAAGAAAGACAAAGATATTCATAATAAGGATACTACTCAATCTTTGAAACAATAGGCACTTTTTCATCAAATTAGTTGCTCAACTCCTCTCCTTGGTTAATTTTATGGATAAATTGTCAACATCAATGGCATCTTCACTTATACTGATCATGAGTTGTGAGAAAGTTACCAACTTTGAGTTATTAGGTATTGGTCTAAACTTTATGACTTCACTATTAGCATTAGCTTCTTCTTCCCTTAAAGTGTTCACTCTCATACCATGCTCCTCTTCTCTTTCTATCCTCAAAACTCCAAGTGTCGGCATGGCTTGAGCAACTTAGCGAAACTTAGAACAATCATCAATATTATGCCCAAGAGGCTTGGGTCTCAACGAGCTTTAAGTTAAAGCCATTAGCACTCATCATATCAAACAACCAAGACATAGAGATTTTGAAGGCTGACCTCCTTTTATCATATTTTGTATTATCCGATGATAGCATGTTTACTCCTTCATTAGCGAGTATGATTCACGAGGGATTAGAATTTATATCCGGAGGCTTTGAAGAATCTTAAAATGCAATTAAACCTTCATCAATCAAATTCCGCACCTTTTTCTTAAAGTCCATACAATTTTTAATACTATGATTGTTGGTACCATCATGATATTCATACACCTCATTTGGTTTGTATCGGTGTGGAAATGATGGTTGAAGTGGAGTTGGTATAACACCCCTAGCCTAGGACCTCATGGGCTGAGAATATTACTATCATTAATCACATTCGAAGTGCAATGAATGTAGGTTAATAAGACATTGTGATCTTATCGTAACTTATTTAAAGAGGTTTACGCGATGGGCGTCTAGTAATAACTCTTAGGTCCTATTTGTTTATTAAAAAGTTGCTAAAAAAATTTTTGAGTTTCCTTAAATTGCTTACCTTTATTCATTCACCTTGTTAGGTAGTCATCAATGTAATTCACTTACTAAATTATTCATTACTATTTATTTATAATAATTACCCAATTATTACTATCGCATCATTTCGTTATTACCGGTTTGATTACACACCTTAGCTATTTACATATAAGACTAATTTTATGCCAATTACTACAAAATTGGTTTATTTGCTTTCACACCATTATCAAGTCATATTGCTTATTGTTTCATAGCCTTTATTATTGTATAGGATAGGTTAGCTACATCAAGTACATATAGAACTATAACTAGTAATATAATTAAAGATAGCATGCGACGAGTTTACTCGAAAATCGAACCCTCATCCAAGATACACACGTTAGGTGCCTCCTTCGATGATTAGCTCCACGGAGAAGTAGGCCATAGTGGTTTACTTATCTACATCACAAGAAACTAGATGAGTGATAACTCGGTAAATTAATGGATGCATGCAATACATGTTCATGTACATATAAGTTTGCAACACCGTTTTATGCAAAGTAAGTCTCCTTTTTCCTCATGTCATAAAACATAAAATAATATAAAAATCCTTTTTCCGTCCGCGGACATGTCCCATTTAGGTG